TTTTTTTTTTTTTTGGTTTTCGTGGGGTCTTTCTTGGGAGGCTGCGCGTACACGAAATTCGGCGTTGCCGTCTTGGGTCCTTCAATATGCGGGGACCAGAACGTGCTCCACCTCGGTGGTCAGGGGCGAGTGGATGTAGGAAGGCTCAAGTAGTCCTCGAGGGAAGCTTTGCCTTCTCGTGTGCTGCGGCAGGAGGCAAAAGTCAAAGGGGGCCACCGATGTCCTCCTCTGAATTGCGCAGCAGGGGCGCGGGCTGGCCGGTGATCTCGTTGCGACGATGCTCAAAAGCCCCTTGCGCCACCTCGTCGAGCGCGCTCGTGGCGCTCTCGTCCATGTCGCAGTTGCAGTCGATGCATTCTATGCATGAGGCGAAAAAGCAACTCGTCCTCTTTCTCCTCACTAGCTGCTGCTGAGCGACGTGGAGGTGCTCGGTGGCGATGTGCGCGTGCGAGATGTAAGGGTGGCAGGTGAAGAGCTTGGCGTCTATCCGAGTCGAAGGAAGGCATTTGAAAAGAGAGGGAGGTGCACTGGCAATGCAGCGGCGGGCCTTTGCGCCCACGTCTCATGCCCCGCGCTCCCTCCCATCCGCATCCGAGCTCGAAATCAGCTTCGCCGGAAAGATGGTCTTCCAGTGCTTCAGCAGCGAGATCCGGACGGCTCCAACATGGCGATGCAACTCTTCCAGGCGGTCCTCCTGCCAAAGTCGAAAAGGGCAAAGGCGGCGCACCTGGACCGGGCGGGCCTGGTCTGTCGGATAGCGCACCAGGCTGGCGCCATGGGTGAAAGGCAAACGAGGGCCTGGATGGGGCATGAGCACGCGAATGGGCAAGTCTCTCGCGGCTGTGCGAGTGAGCGGGCCGATCTCTGCGTGTCGCATTTCGGCAACAAGAAGCAGCGTGCGGACCGTGGCGATGATGCGGTGGAGCACCGAACTGGGGAAATGGCTCCTCAAAGTGCTCGTGCGGATGACCCGCGTGGAAAGGATGATGATGATGGTGGTGGTGGTGGTGGTGATCAGGTCCGCCCATGTGGGGAAGTCGACCTCTACCTCCAAATCCAGACCTCGAGCCGAATCCAGCTCTTCCTCTACCTCCGAATCCTCCTCTTCCTCTACCTCCCAAGCCTCCTCTTCCTCCACCTCCAAAGCCTTCACGACCGCCGAATCCCCCTCTGCCTTCTGGTGGCATCATAAAGAATCCTCTACGAAGGTCATTTAAAGATGCCTTGTCAAAGAGCGCACGTTCGGCCCCTCTCATGGAATAGTGATCAAAGAACTCCGGACCGTGATGACCTGAACGATCAAGATGGCACGCGCAGGGCGGCGGCGGCGGCGGTGGACCACGAGAGCGTGACTCTTCTGGTCCGTGGCGACCATCGCAGGGGTGGGAATGATGTGTGACGGAGCCTTGGATATCATGGCGACTTTGGCCTTTTGGACCACGCTCGCGGCTGCAACGATGTTGTTGATGGCCATCTCGTCTCTCGGCTTCGCTTTGGTTCGCAGTTTTATCGGCAGGCGGCGGCGGCGCCTCAGCATCCGGCTCTTCCTGCACCGTCGTACGCTTCGCATCTTCGCTTCGAAAAGGTGCGCGTGCGGTCGACAAACTTTCGTCCGAATCGGCATGTGTCGGCGTGGCACGAAGCTCATCCGATTGGTCTGCCGCATTGCGATGCTCGGCAACGACGTCATCTTCAGAGGTATCGGACTGGTCTGGTAGCTCGTAGGGGTAGGTGCACCAGCAAGCTTGCGAGTCTGACTGATCTTGCTCCATCTGCTTGATATTCATCCACTCGTCCGCGCCTGCTTCGCGAGCTTCGTGCGGGGCATGGCCCGTGGGGCCCTCCGATTCAGAGGCTGGGCGTCGTGTCTGGACAGGATGAACGCGGGTGGATGGGGGCGGCGACGGGCCCGAAGGACTCACCGGTGGATGCTGAGGATCAGCTGGAAAGGTGCGAGAATTGGCATTGGTAGGAGTTGTCATGATGAGAGGGATGAGATGTTGTGGGTGGAGGAGGAGAGGAGTAGTGGACTTGGTCAGTACACGAGACGCATTTTATACCTTACCTTTGTGGATTGGCTAAGCGCGGACGTTGGGCTAGCTGCTCTTACCGTACCTGGTAGCAGCCATCCGGAATCTCGTACCCATTGGCTGACTCAGCATCCTACAATCACGAATGTTGATCCGATCCGTTCGCGGAAGAAGTGCTGGGTAAGTATTGTGCGCAGCCGCAGCCGCAGCAACAACGGGCCGTCTACAGCACAGCCGTCCCCTACTCGGCATCGCACTCGCGACTCTGCGCCCCCCGCCCCCCCCTCATCTAGCTCGCTGCATCTGTTCCAGAGCTTT